GAAACTGTTCTAAATAAGTTGTTATTGTTTGCATACAATTCCCATTATATGCAGCAAATATCTTCTTCCACGTGAAAAAGCTAACAGCTCTTTGAAAGTTGTTTCAGTTTATGAAGGTAATGATATGATGGCATTACCTTTTATAGAAGGGAACTGGACTTCAACTGTGAGATCCATTCCTGTTGCATATCCTTGAAGAATGACCGAAAGAACACCAGGATGTCCAGATGAAATACAAAATGCTCCTTGCTTCAGACTAACTAAACACTGATCCTCTGGCTGCAGTGGTATGTTTTTTAAGGGGAGCCCGTAACAGTCAGACAATCCAGAGTTTGAAGCTGGTGGCTGTCTTCAAGGGGTGTCATCTCTGTGTTGGCTGGCTAGCTGATGGTATTAACCACATGCATTGTCTAATATAACCTGTACGCATAGGCTCTAGTCTCTTCTGATAACATACCTGCTTCTTGCTGAGCATAATGCTATGAAATTTCTCCATGCAGATGATATCCAGTGAAGAGTTAAAATTGACTATGTCCTTGAGCTAGAAGGAACTGCATGGGGCTCGCAAAAGCTGGTATGGATGTGATATTTACAGTTATGTTATTCTGATGAAGAACTTTACGGCAGTGCACCTGGAACAGTTTGTACAGATGTATTCTGATATGTGAAATAAGGCTCCAGTGAGATGTCAAAATACCTGTGTAGTGCTTGTTGATTAGAGGAGGAAATATAGTGTCACTAGTATCTCATTAAGGTCATATTTAACTTTTTATAAATAAAAGAAGCCTCTAAGGGAGAAGTCGATACATGGAAAATGGATTATGATGACACTGTTGACTGTAAAACTTCTAGTCCTAACTGTAATGCCAAAATGAATTGTACAGGCTTTGAAACTTGTGGAAATCTGTGTGTAGTGAAGCATGATCCTCTGGCTAGTTGCCATCTGGAAATAATGCTCTGAACTCTGGGCAAGTGTTAGCTCTAAAAAGGGAGCCAAAACTTGGTCTAAGTTGGCAGACTTGCCTTGAGCCGCAATGGCAGGTAGACCAAGCTTCCAGACTAAACTTCTTTTACTTTCTGTTAACAGTAAATTCCTGGGTGGTTAACTTTGGTATGGTATTGTATAATGTCAGAGTGGCTGAAGGGAAGCTGCGTATACTTACGTACAACTTCCTCAGTCCTGCAGTTCTTGCCCCTTTGCTCTTCCAAGGGGAAAACGCCAAACCCCCATAATGGGATTATCAAGACTGATGTGTTTGGAACAGAGGGCTGGGAAGTGGAGGCAGAACTCCAATTTCTACAGATGGCTGTTGCAGTCAACATATATTAACTCCTTGCATTAACGTGTTGCTAATACTTTTGTGTTTACTGAATCGTGTTGTGCACTATTCTTGTCTAGACTTCCTTCTTTCATATGTACTATATGCTGATACTGTGAGTTTTCTAAGGCTGAATTCTCACTGTGACTTCTGTGCTTAGTTTGTTGCATTTGTTTTTCCCCTTCAGCACAGAGTCTTTCTGGACTTCTTCTTTCTTCTAAGATCTGAGTACGGCTTGGATTCCTGCTTATCCTTATTGGAATTTGAATGTCTAAAAATTTGTTGTTTGTTTCGTTGGTTTTTTGTTGTTTGTGGTTTTTTTTTTTGTTATCTGTTTTCCAGAGAAGATTCCTGACTTTCAGTAGTAAATTGGAGCATTTCAGAATCTTTTCTGTAACATGACCCTTGGAATAATATAATACCAAAATGTTGCTTTATTTCTCAGTTTAACTCCAGAAACTGTGTTTAATCTTAATGTCTGTGTTTCTGCAAGCGTTCAGTACGTATGTCTGTCAGGCACAGTAACTTCTCCAGTAGCTCTCTAGGGTGTGAGAGAAGGTCTAGACTCATTGTATGAGTGAGTTTCTCTATCAGGATTGCTATTAATAAGTTTCTTTAAGCTGTGGAGAGCACGCGCTGGGTCTGGCTGTACGCAGTGGGGTGTGTGGCGTATCTCACCTCCTTTACGGGCCTAATATCACTGTGAGAAGGAGGGTGAAGCTTTAGCAGTGAGGCATGTCTCTAAATCAGTCCTCCCTTCCCACCCCTTTATTAACAGACTTTGTTGCCAAGCACAGAATTTGTTGTTCTTGCTTTGAAGTAGGAACTAATTTTGATGCATATGCCACAAAGCAGTGACTGTTTCGTGTATACTGAAACAGCCTAGTTAGACTTTAATTGAAGAGTATAATAAAAATTGACATCTTAGCAAGCAAACAGTCTGTCAAATAAACAGATGTATATTTAGCAGTAAACATTCTAGTTAAGAGAGACTCATTTCAAATTCACTTGGTGAACAGCCTGCACAGAGTTCCCAGTTTGTCCGTTCTTAAAAAAAAAAAAAATCTTTTCTCACCTTCCTCTGATGCTGCTTAGAAGCTTGGATAGTGAGAGGTGTTTCCCTCACTTGTTACATACAGCGTTATAGTCAGGCACTCAGAAACATGTAACTTCTTTGAGTATTTCTGAATACTTAGCATTCCTTAGCCAGCCAGCATTGTGAAGGAAGACAGGGTCACCTAGGTCTCTGCAGGATGGATTTCATGGCCACGTGAGTGCTTCCCCGTCTTTGAGTTTATGGCGCTGATTTTTTTCTTTAAACTGTGTAAGTTAGTAGATGCTACCATCCTCAGAATGCACTGTAGATCTTCCAAAATAGATAGATATTGGTGCTCTTGGTGTGTCTCTCTGTCTTTCTGTGTTGTGACTGTAGCACCCACCTGTTTTCTGTGGAAAATAGCAGAGTTCGTGCTGTCTGCCTGAAGTACTTGTGCGTATAAACTGGCCTTTTCAAGTTTTTATTTTGTACTCTGACTTGCATACCTCATAATGCTCCAGTTTAGCCTTGTCTGCTATCAAACTGAATTGAGCTGTGAACGTAGTCCTCCTAGGTTTAGTTAGAAAGCAAGTGGCAAGTCAGTATCCTGTGAGAACAAGTGGATTGGGTCAGAAGATGCTCAGTTTGAATGTGGCTGCCGTTGGGACGTGCTGAAGAAGAGGAAGAACAGAACATGTGAAGACGTGTTTGGAAAATTTGAAGTATTGGATGTTCCACAGTGACACATTAATTTTGCACTCTGTATGGAGCAGTTGCTTGTCTTTATTTGCTAGTGCTGAAAAATAATCAGTGCACATACTGAAGCTGATACTGTAACTCTGGAGGATTCCAGGAAATAAGGCAGTAAAGTTGCTGGCTTCCTTGGTAAGGAGCAGTGCGTTTCCAGTCATGGATGTGAATTCTTATCCAGTGCAGCGGTGGGAAGTGGTCTGTCCGCGGAGCGGTTGTTTGCCAGAGAAGGGGGAGGACAGGGGTGGTGTGGGATGGCTGCATGGGATTTCCCTCTACTACGGAGAAGAGTTTCCTCTGAAACTTTCTTGATTGAAATGACTGTTCTGGGAGCATCTGCAGCACTTGGTGGAATTCTGTCTTGCCAGCACATGTAAGAATTACTGTCCAAAATTGTCTTTTGTCTGCTATCTTGGATTAAACTTGGTTTAATAGAACTGTGTGTGTGTAGGAGTAAGCATAGATGCTTTGCATACTGCATGGGATAGAAGGACTTGAGAGTTTCCATATTGTGAGCGGAGCATGAAGGAAAGGCAAGACGCAGAGCAGTGACTGGCACACAGTAAGCCCTTCTTAACTGCATGTCGGAGTTGTGCCCCCTCCAAGGTCTAGATAAGAGTGTTTGCTTTACACCTCTGCTGTGTGAAGCAGTGGCTGTTTGTGAATGAGATTTGTTGTCAGTCACCTTTCTTATGACTGTAATTCACTGTTATGGATTAATGGTGGTTGAGGAAACAGTACTTTGCTTTTAAAAAAGCTGCAGGCTTGTAAGCTTTCCTGCGTTTTTATTTCTTTACAGTACTGGTTTCATTTGTCATGTGAATGACACATGACCGAATGAAAATCTTTCTAGGCCAAAGCACTGTTCTTTTTAAGAAGTACCATGTTTTTCTAACAGCTGGCTATCTGCCATCCAGGAGAGGAAATGGTGAATTCCTAGTAGAAATTTTCCACTTTCTTAACTGATCGCATTATAGCTGGTTTAACACAAAGCCTGGGACAAAAACTGGGCGTTTTGCATCCTTTATGTTAACTGCCAATATCTGGCCTGTATAGACTTGTAATCCTGGTTAACTGATCTATTGGTTGGTAAGTCAGCTATTGCTGCTTGCAGGTTTACACAGCTGAAGCCAGTTCCAATTCCTCCTACATCTAGGAAAGCCCAGGAGAACTCTGGAATAGTGAAAGTACTTACCCCAACCTAATTTTGATGATCACTTAAAAAAGAGAAACTGTGAAGCCTTGCTGTAATGCTGCTGTGCTGGCAAAGCCACAGAGATGTTAACTAACTTCCTGGACATCTGATTTGTGGCTTGTACCACTCTTCTGACATCAACATGTAGCAGTCCAGGCCCCAGTTAAGGCTACTACAGCTTTCTTTTAAGTAATTCTTAGCAGTTTGATGCAAGCTGTGCTCTTTCTTTTGTTCCTGTTGCAAGTCTCGGAAGTATGAGGTAATAGGTCCAAATTGCTGGTTTTATTAAAGCTCTTCGGATTTTTCTTTTGGAGTCAGATTTTATTTTCGGTTTGTGTATCAGCTGTTTGGCGAGTGAGTGCTGGTCCACTCGGTGACTCTGGATGAAGCAAGAAGCTACTGGAGCTTTTCAACAGCTTTAAGTCCTTCTGCATAAAATTGAATGAGTATCAGTACTATGCAGAGCATGTTTCTACTTGGAGGTCTTACTGATGGGTCCAGGGCGAATGATGTGGGAGTTCTGCTGAGTGTGGCTGGCGTTAATTCAGTGACTGTGGGGAAGTACACAAACTTCAGCTGTGAATGAAAGGATAGGTGGGGGAAGGGGTTTTGTTTGCTTATGTGAACTGAACTGATGAATTGGGTTGTTTGATGAATGAGTAGCAGTTCTGATGTGTTCTATTTTTTTTTTTAGTGCCACAATGGCAACTGCACCTTACAACTATTCCTACATCTTTAAGTACATCATTATTGGTAAGTATTGCTGGGCACATACCTGTTCGTGTCACTGTGCGCGTGCAGGACAGCCTGCCTGCAATCCCCAGGCTGTGCTGCTGTTGCCTCCTGTTGCATGCTACTTGCTGTGGAGTAGCTTTCAGCAGTTACTTGTCCAGCCTCAGCCCCTCCTAGATGACCAGCCACGCTTGCTCTGAAGCTGCAGCAGCTGACAATAATATCAAGGCAGGTGCCTTTGTGTGCCACTTGGTAATTCTGTGTGCCACAGACTTACAGCTGTGTAGCTGGTGGCAGGTGAACTGGGGTGGGGACAAGCACCACTGCCTGCACTGAGCTCACTTTATTGATGAGTTACTGTTAAAAATGGCTGTTCTTCTTGATGTACACACTTTGGTATTCTTGAACATCTTTGATATTAGGGCCATAAAGCTTAGCCCTCTGCGCAGCACTAGAGAAAAAAAAAAAGCTTTTTAGAAACAGGTGCATGTGGTCCATTTCTCTGTAAATCAAGTTTATATTTACAAAAATTGCTATATCCATTGGAAATGGGGAAAAAAATGTTGGTGATAATCAACACAGCTGGGATGTTTGTGGTTTGCTGTAGCACTTGGACTGCCTCTGCATCATTAGTCTCAAAAGTTTTAGAATCTGTGTTGAAGACACAAGTACTAATTGGAATCCATTGCTTTAGGCAGGCTTTTAAACCTCTGTCAGGCTGTATTTTTGTGTTAAGGGTTGCTTTTAGCTGCAGATTCCTTGCCTGTTTAGAGTCAGGGACTTGATTGCATTTATTAACTATCCTGGAAGTACTGGTCTTGCTGTTAATTGTTTAATTCTTAATGATCTTGTGTAGGTGTAAGTGATCTGCAATCTTAGCGTAATGGTTTGTAAGTCAGGCTGCTGGGAGAGCCTCAGCCTGTGGACAAGTTTGTTCTTAAAAGATCTTGCTGTTCCTCACTGTTCGCATTGTGTAAGTGGATCAGTGGAAGTGAAGCAATTTCTTGGTGTGTTTGGGTTGGTTGTCAGTGGTTTTGATGTCCCCACCAGTAATATCAAGTAAGACAGGAGCAGGGCAAACACTCAAAAGGCATATTTTACATTTCAAATTCTTACAGGTCTACTTCTCATCACCTTGTGAAATATAGTTGTAAAATTAGTCACAGAGATTAACTTCTGAGTTTTCTGCTCCACCCTTGCTTGCAACCCTGTACCTGTAACCAAAACTATAGTGTGAAAGTTGATACACCTAAGGACTGTAGTGAGGTAGAGAGCTTTGCCCGCTGGACCTGAGGAAGGAGTGGCTGCAACTCTCTGTACCACTTGTGTGGGATGAAGAAAATGTGCTTGTTGCAACAATGATGTAGTGTCAGCCTTAACTATTCTTTCTGTAACAGGGGACATGGGTGTAGGAAAGTCCTGTTTGCTTCATCAATTTACAGAAAAGAAGTGTGAGTATTTCAATTCACAATGTTTATTCTAACTGGTATGCTTCACCCCTCTTTCCTACCTTTTTTGCTTCCATCGTGCATGAGCTTGATGTGGTTTCTGTCTTAATCTGTATGGGTTTGTGTTGTACTTGGTCAGATTTTTGTTTTGACTCCTGCAGATGTAGAAACAAAATGTTGATGTGGTAATGGCAAAACTGCTGCTGCAGTCAGTCCTGCCTGTGACGAGTGGGAAGACCATGCCTGGGTTTGATAGGGAACAAAGTGAAATTTCCTGTCTCAATCTTGCATGTTCTCATGTTGGTGTAACTTGAACGCAAGCAGATGGAGTTTTTTTAGTGCTTTTAAGCACTTCAAAAAGTAAAAAAAGATTTGATTTTCTTTGACCCTTCGTTTCTAAAGTAGCACCGTCATTCTCTGTGGCTGCTGTGACTCATGACACTTGCACTGCCCTGTGTGATTGTGTTTCAGGCTTACTGCAATCTGTCTCAACTGTAGTGCGTTTTTGTGTATGCTATCATGACTAATTAAGAATTACCTTCAGTTCTTCTTAATAATGTGTGTTGCATTGGAGTTTGGAGCAGCTGTTAGCCCTGTGACTTTCCATGTAGCTCACATTCAATGGATAAGACCGTTGGTATTTATTGGTACAAAATCAGTCTTTACCATGTACTACTCGAGATGTGGCAATAAATGGGTACGAGCTACAGTTTAAAATATTTCTGTTTTCTAGCAGAGATGGGATTTTAAAGTGTTGCTTTTAATTAAAATCCAGTATCAGCAAATTGTTTAAATGCCACTTTGCATATGGTCAGATTCTTTATGAGGCTATGGCTTTTTCTTAGTCTGTCAGCATTAAGCCGAAGCGGTACAACTGAACAAACCAACGTGCCAAACACCTCTGCTACAAGACTGTCACTAACTGTAGGTAGCTGGAATAGGTACTCGTCCTTTCTGTGTTTTCTTGATCTTTCTTGAAGATTAGCTGCTTTTAACTAGAAAGATGCCTTTTTGGTTTTGATTTGCTGTGTTGATAATCTACTTAGGAAACTGGCTTTCTCCTGTGGACAGTCGTCCAATTACCCTGTCTGAAATAACTTGGATGTTTGTTTTTGAAGCTGTGTTACGGACTTTTAACTGTATCTTTGTAAGTCCCTAAAAGTTATCTTTTCCTACTGCATTCAAACAGTTAACCATTTCCGCAAGGATAGACTAACTATCAAATGGCTTGATGCCTTCTGACATACATGGCCAAACAGCATCAGGGCACGTGTGTCAGAAGACAAGGGATTTTATAACTGCTCTTAAAACGAACAGCAGTTCAGGAAAGACTTCATTTCTGGTGAATTGGTGAATTGATACAGTTGGGGTACTGTAGCTGTAAAAATGTTTTCTTAGAGACTGAAAATCTAGTAAAGATAACTGAAAACTGGTGATAGTAATCTTTGTGGCAAGGAGACCTTGCACTAAAAAGATTTGATCTTTACTTTTGTTTTTCATGACAGTTATGGCAGACTGTCCCCACACAATTGGTGTTGAATTTGGCACAAGAATAATTGAAGTTAGTGGCCAAAAAATTAAACTACAGATATGGGACACAGCAGGACAGGAGAGATTCAGGGCTGTGACACGAAGCTACTACAGAGGAGCAGCAGGAGCTCTCATGGTCTACGACATCACCAGGTAAGGTGCTGTTGCATCTTGGATCATAGCTCTGTGCCTGACAGGCTGTTCGGATGCCCCAGCCTTGTCCATGCTGTCCTGTCTGTCCCCCAGACTTGGATCTGAAGGACTCTGGGTGGGTTTGTGTCCTCTTGTGTGACGCTTACCATACTTCTTTGTCTAAATACTTTGATTATTTCAAGAGCTGAAAAAGAAACATAAGGAGTTATGCGAGCTGCTTTTCTTGGAGAATTTCACTGCCACCAGGCCTGAGGATCTTGCCTTTTGAGGCCTTGACTGCATGTGTTGAAGTTTAGAGAACTGGCTTTACCCTGAAAATCTACTCTTCAGTACACGGATTTTTCCCTTCCTGGGAGGCAAGGGAATACTGCTGCTTACCGGGTAGGAGTGTTCAGTTAGAGTAGGCACAGGACAGACTATTACCTCTGTGGCAGTGGGCTGTGTAAACATGCTTAACAGACTCTACAAATGAGAGCACTGGATGAGTCTGACTTCTGGGCCGCTTCATGGACTGGGCCTTCAACAGATTGAGACTGTGTAGAGGCTGTCCTGCCTTCCTTTTATAGATGAAAACTAAAGATGCTGCTAAAAGAATGAATAATCAGATGTGCAACATGAAATACTTTTGCTTTCTCATGTCTCCCATCTTCCTCTGGGGCTGTTCTTGATCTTCCTTACGCACCTCTTTCTCTGTGTATGTAGGCGTATCTCCTGTTTGCTTAAATCTGGAGTAAAGCGTAAATAATCTTATGCAGTGTTTGTTACCAAAGTGCTATTCTACTGTCCAGTGTTCTGTGAGAGTATTTGACAGAAAATCATTTAACGTGTTCTAAACGAAACAACACGTTATACTTGTGAAGACGGTAACACTGCTGCATGCGGAAGGGTGAATTGTTCTGTCTCTCCGCCTGTGCTGTAAGAGTTGCTCTGTGGGCTTGAAGCTGCCCTGCTGAAACCTTGGTCTGAGGCCAGACGAGATGCTGCTGCTTCGTCTGTCTTCAGGCCGGGGAGAAGAATGGGGGCAACGGGTGTCGGTGTGTTGTTTGGATGCCGACTATGCTGTTGGCACTTGGGTATTTTAACAAACACTGTAGCTAAAACTGTGCTCCCTTGACTCTTTGCAGAAGAAGTACGTATAATCACTTAAGCAGCTGGCTGACAGATGCAAGGAACCTCACCAATCCAAATACTGTAAGTTGGACTTCACGTAGCTTGAAAGCAAGGCTGCTGATCTCTGAGCAAGAGGTGGAGGGCTTTGGCCAAGGCGTCTGTGGTGGTAGCGGTGTTCTCTTAAATACGCTGCCTGTGTTTTCTCACCTGCTCAGCTCTGAGTTATGCTTGTGTCCCCGTTTTGCAGTATGCCAGTGACTCTGCCCTTACTGCAATGGAGGAAAGGCGTGGGCTCCTGGGCAGGGGAGCAGGGCTTGCTGCTAAAAGCTGTCTTGTGCTGCTCGCCTTCCGGGGGCCCATTTTCAGCAGTTGGAGGCAAAACGGTGATTAACCCGGAACAAACCTGAACTTTTGTTAACATTGCTTCTTGCCTTGTGGTAGTAGTGGGGTGAATGCTATCTGATCTTAGACTGGACAATAAATTGCATTTCCAGCAAAAGCTGCCCAGGTCTTTTGGAGGGATGGGGAAGGTGGTTCTTCTGAGTCTCTTTGGCCATACCACAAAACTGTTGTCCTTCCGTCTTTTTCTGCATGCCCCTAAAATACTTTAGCACCAAGCTCATGGGAAGACTCTGTGTTGTGATGAAAGCAAACTCTTAAAGATTCTGGCTGGATTAGCAGAGGATTAATCAAACGCAAGAAGTGGTTCCGAGTACAACCTCCTTGCAGACAGAGCAGGCCTGCTGCTTTGCAGGACCTGTCTCACGAGAACAGCCCAAGGCGTTTGAGCGGGACTGCTGGCGACGCCGTGCTGGACGCCGCGCCGGCTGTGCGGAGGGGGCACTGCCAAAGCAGCGTGTTCCTGAAGATGCACGGGGCTCGCGGCTAAACTTCTCTGCAGATTTCCTTTGTTTTTTCATCTTTTTAGTAAAGATGGTGGTAGAGAAAAGCTAATAAGCTCTTTCCAGACTAATTTTCTCTCTCCTGAACTAGGTGATAATCCTCATAGGAAATAAAGCAGATCTGGAAGCACAGAGGGATGTTACATATGAAGAAGCCAAACAATTTGCTGAAGAAAATGGTGTGTGTTTTCTCTTGAGCTGTTAACGTTTCGTACAAGATAGTGGTGTTAAAGTGAATCCTCAGCATTGGTAGCTGCAAGCTTACACTTCCAGAGTAATGGAATTATATGTGCAGACTTCTGCTGTGCCTCAGTCTGGCTTAACTCTAACTGGGCTTAGTTCTAGAAATCAGCTTGTGTACTGATGCCTTAACTTGGTCATAAAATACTGTTTAGTACTAAAATAGTGTCTTGCATGTGATCGGAAGGTGGTAATGCGACTGACGGAGCGCTGTTGAAATACATTATGCATTGACTATTAAACCTCTGTTTCTGAACAGGTTTATTGTTCCTTGAAGCAAGTGCAAAAACGTAAGTCACTTTTGTCTGGAGTTCTGATTCAGATGTGATCTGTTTAAGAGGAATGTGTTGGTTATGACTAAGTACAGCTGTAGGGTTTTACAGTGGAAAACAAACCCTGAGCAAACTATTTTTGAGCTCTCTTAGAGGATAAGGTATGTGTAGCAGTTTCGGCCTTGCCGGCTTTGACTTGAAGGTGACTTGGAAGTGAGACCTCTCGCTACATTTCAGGCAAAGACTTGTTGAATTTCAATGAACTGAGGTGGTTTTAGGAGATGGTTTGAGCGTAGGATGCGTACATGTGGGTCAGAGGGGTTCCCAGTTAGGTGTTCCTTCCCTCGGACCAAGTTCTGCAGTGACCAGCCTGTCCCTTCGGTCGCTGGGAGGAGTCACCACGCTGTACCTGTGGTCACCTGGCTTCATGGACCTTTGTAACAAAAAAGTTTTGACTCATAGTAACTCCCTGTCCTTTAGCCTCTTTCAAAACTGCACTGTGCACGTGGATCAATGCCTTAGCTTATTTCTGCTACTCGGTGCTTTTGTGTTTTTTATGCCTGGCTAGTCCTGACGGGTTTAGTGGCTAGGGGGTGAGCTGCCTTATCAAAGGCTGTCCCGAGGACAGGGTGTCAGACTGTGATACGTCTGCCCTACGTACTGCCAGCTCCTCTTGCAGTTGGGAGGGCAGGGCAGCCACTGCTTCCACGTGTGCCCTGTCAGACCCCAGCAAGCGTGTCTAGCCAGCGGCCCCCGTGACCTGCATTGCCTTGCTGAAGGGTAACCTCAGTAACTCCTGCCGCTCTCCTCGTAGCGGAGAAAACGTTGAGGATGCATTCCTGGAGGCTGCCAAGAAAATCTACCAGAACATCCAAGATGGAAGCCTGGATCTGAACGCTGCAGAGTCGGGTGTACAGCACAAACCGTCAGCTCCGCAGGGAGGGCGGCTAACCAGCGAACCCCAGCCCCAGAGAGAAGGCTGCGGCTGCTAGTGACCCCCCTTCCACGGCTCCATTTCCGACCTTCCGCCTCTGTCTGCTGGAAGCGGTGCTTTTGACCGCTTCCCTGTCTTCTGTACATCTTACTGGGTTTAACTGAAACTCTGAGACAAGTTTAACACAGTACTAAACTGCTAAACAACTTTAGATGTAATCAGGTTATCAAAGGCAAGTAGAGTAATAAAACCTCTCCTGCATGGTAAATCTAGAAGTTTTTCTTTCCTTGATTGTCCTTGTGATAGTGTCACCGATACATAATTTCAACTGAGCACTGATGCCGGACTCATGATTTTACACTTTCGCAGGGCTTTTGTCTTGTACGGTTTAATTTTATGGTTCTTTGGCCTTTCTTCCCCACCTGTAACTGTTTAGAGCTGTCCATAGTAAAGGATAAATTTTTTGCTGTGAAATGAATTCCGATGGTAGCAAGGGGCTCTGTAACAATGTGCTTTTTCTTGTTGGAAGGATTCCCTGTGGTGTGTGTCGGGGCGGGCTGGCGCAGGAGCGTACAACTCGCACAGGGACGCGATCCATTCATTCTTGTGCTCATAGCTTTGCATCGTTTTTTTGCCACTTTTATCCTTTACATTTGTTAACAGAACGTAAATATGTATAAAATCTGAAGGAACTGAGCTAACAGTTAAATACATCCTGTGTATATGATTTTAATGAAGAAAATGATTACTGGCATTAGAACAGTATATAAGAAAATACCAGTTTGTACAGTGTGACCTGTATGTATTGCCCCGTTAGTACCGAAATCGATGTAACCGCAGCTCACTACCAGAGGCGTGACGCGGTGGTGTCGACCGTGGGCGTTGTGCCGGGGGAGGGCCGCTCCCCGTGCCGAAGTTAACACTAGTGGGATCTGTCTCTCATCCTCGCGCTCTGGTATACCGAGGCCGTGTTATTAATCCTGTTATTAAACCTGCTTCTCTTCTGTCAGCGTTTTGCATTACTGGGCTTCATCGCCTGCCTCGTGTCGTATACGAAGGCTGGGTCTCTTGCACATCTTACGCTTTTGTACCTTTAACTTTCTGAATGCTCAGAGGCCGGACTGGACAGTCAGAACACCCCCTCTGCTCTCTAGGGATTTTTAGCTACTGTGGTATTTTTTACCAGTCCCCTGTGAGGGTTGCTTTGAAGCCTTCGTTGGGTGGCACAACCCATAACATTTGCACGAAGGGTAGGTGGATGGTTGGGGTGGCTCTGCTCACTTGGCAACCCCACAGAGGGTGTGGGAAGGGGAGGGGTGAGTGCTTAACCGTGATCAGGTGTCCAACTTCAGTCTCACTGTGGCATTTGAAGTACAAAGTAGTCTTAAAATCCCTCTCTAGACACTAAAACTATTTCAGACTTGTAAGTAACCAGTGGTACCAGAGTATTGTACAGTCAATGTTAAATAAAAGCCAAAACTGGAATGTGCAGACAATAGGCTTTGGGTAATGTGCCTTTGTTTTGTTTGGTTTTTTCTTTTTTTTTTTTTTTTTTTTTTTTTTTAACTACTACTCTGCAGTAGATGGGTGTGTTCAAGATCTACAGCTAATGCATCCTGCTTCAACTGAGGCTACACTGCAAAGGGGTTGCCCAGGGACCAGGACCTGCTGCTGGGGTGAAGTTAATGTTCCAATGGCTGCAGCTTGGTGAGGTGCAATACCTGTACTCCAGAGTAAGTTACAGTGGCTCTTACTGTTTCTGTCACAGAAAGGATTTGTTTGGACTGCTGTACTCCTCATGTGATGTAACAATGCTATTAATCTAAATATTTGTAAATAAAGTACCTGTATCTAGATAAACTGCAGTGGCTTGTGGTGTTCGCTGGTGTTTGAGGGGGCCTCTGCCTGGAGCTGGCTGTAGGGGCGGCTGCGCTCGCTCCCAAGGACTGAGCCCGGCTTTCCCTCCACCACGAAGCAGCAGAGCAGGCGCTGCTGCTTGCTGCAGTCAGGTGCTTGAGAAAAGCATCTCCTTGAACTGGTGGAGGAGGAGGAATGCGAGCACTCCCCGAGATTATGCAAGAATTCCTTGCAGCGGGTGGTGTTGGTGCTCTGATGTGGGACCTTAAGGCTGCAGCGGAGGCTGCTGCTCTCTTCCAGTGCCCAAAAAGTGTTCCTGAAGATGTGACAGGCCCAGGCTCTTTGCTACCAGTGAAATGGGGGGTGTAGGCGACACTGGGGGGAGTGGTTTTTCCACTGCCAGGTAAGAGCAGGCTGCTTGGAGCATTGTTTGGGGACCCAGGACCCAGCGAGGGGCTGCAGCTGAGCAGTGACAGGAGGAAGGGCAGTGGGCACTTGCAGCCAGCAGCCGTAGGGAACAAGATTCACTTCCTGCAAGCAGGAGCCGCAGGGCTGGAGCGTGCTGCTGCTGGGGGGACCCCAGAGAGCAGCTCTGAGAAAAACCCCAAACCAACCCCGGGTAACAGTAAGCATCAGTCACTGAAGTTTAGCTTAAGGAAGTACTCGATTGTATGTAAAACATCCATGCATTTGACAACAGGTAAATTGACAACTCTGGCCCTGGTAGAAGTTTTCTTCAAAGTAGAAACGGACAAACACTGACACTTAAATAGGAGTTGTTTTAGATATGGCTTTAAATCCACAGTGAAAATACTTTTTTTTCAAAAACCCGTTTTTATATACAAACTCAGCTTCACAGTGCAGCGCAGTTGTTAGGTACCAGGGGAAACACCTCTCCGGAGAAGACTCGCCAAACGGTGAGGTAGGAGTCGGCAAAGGTGAGGAGCCAGTCGTGCCTAGGAGAGAGCTGCCTCGGGAGGGTCACCAGCAGCGCCTGGGGGCTGTCCCCCAGCCCAGCGCTCACTGCTGCACCGAGGCTGTGCCAGGCCCCAGGCAGCTGCAGCTCTGCTTCAGCTGCTCTGCTAATGTGTATGGCGTCTCTCGAAGTAACACATTTTCAAGTTAAATCATTACCAAAGAACAATTAAGTACCAGGCTGGTACTGGAACTGTCCAGTTCTGGGCTCCCCAGTTCAAGAAAGATGAGGAGCTACTGGAGAGAGTCCAGCGGAGGGCTACAAGGATGGAGAGGGGACTGGAGCATCTCCCCTACGAGGAGAGGTTGAGGGAACTGGGCTTGTTCAGCCTGAAGAAGAGAAGGCTGCGAGGGGACCTTATAAATGC